AACCGTAAACAACTAGTACTACTTATTACTACCTACGAATATTAGGTCGTCTTCGTACTAGGGACGAGAGAACGTACCACGAGATAACTACTCTCTCTCTCTCTCTCTCTCTCTCTCTCTCTCTCATCCAACTAGAAAGATACAATGAAAAAAGAAAATTTCAATTGTTTGCAAACCATTCTTGAGTAGACCACAAGAATGGTGATTCAAAGGGAAGGACTGAATCAATATCAGCAGAAAAATTGTCGAAAGTGGGGAAATTCGAAGAGGAATTTATGCCTGAAACTTCCTCTGTTCCTTCAGATTCCATTGTTTGAAGAGTTTCCCCAACTTCTGATGACTCTGAAGCAAACCCAACCCTGTCATGCCGGAATATGTCTCCATGATTAGTTTCTCTCTCTTCATTTCTCACAATTGTGGTGAAGGAAGAGAGAGAGAATGGAGAGTTGGGATTATCCTCATAATCAGTGCTCTCTATTGCTGAATTTGATTCAAAGTTGAAGAAAAAGGGTCTACTCGGAGTGGAGTCTAGAGAGAGAGGTGGGGTTGCCATGAATTGCCTGCAAGTGTGGTAGCCAATGTATGTGACCTCAAAGAATGATTGGTTGCTATCCATTCTTTGCACTTGCTTTAGGGCCGCGCACCCCTGATCATTTTTGTGGGTGCACCTGAAATAGCTCCTGCAAATCACAAGAACAAGGGGTTTAGAAGTTTTGCTCTTTTTTCCACTTTCACTCTGTCCTCTTTCTTTGCAGGTACAGAAAGGGCTTCTCTCTCTCTATCTCTCTCTCTAAAAAAGTAAAGGATTCATATACTCTCTCTCTAAAACAAGGGTGAATTTTCTCTCTCTTTTTAAATCAGGGTTGAATTTTAAGTACCTTGGGTGGTTGGCATTGAGGATATCCTTTTGGCCATATTTTCTCCAGGCATATCCATCATCTGTTGGGGCTGCATGCGGTGATTCCGGGTTATCAGCCAACACCTTCATGGTCCTCTTGCATGAAACCTTCCTGCAAATTTTGATTGAAATACTTGGCATGTTATTCTTTGTTTTGCCGTTTACAAAGCAATAATCCTTTTGTTCAGAAAAACCCTTTACCTCTTTTAAACTTCTATCTTTCTAGTTAGTGTAAGAAAGTCACAATTACTTTAAGTCACTAAATTTGAAATTCACGAAATCATATAGGTTAGTGTCATGCGAAAAAATGGTTTCATTAACAAAATAAAGATAATTATGACCTTTTTATACTATATATAAATGGTTTTATTATGTATTTTTTATTTCTTTTTAAACCCATAACTCATAAATTGAAACACTAATAAAATTGTAATCTTCCATTCTTTGACAATGTCACATATTATTATGAAGCGATAAACTTCCAACTATGTCCATATGTGGCTCGGTTCGGGACTCGCTGGATCCCGAGCCCAGTCAAGCAACTCCAATCACTCGATTTTTTCAGACACTCTATCGGATTTTAAAAAAGAATTACCAATTAAAGTTTGGAATGGATGAGTTGCAGCCCATTCCAAATGTTTTGGCTTGGCACCCCGTCTAGTCCAAGTAACTTGGCCAATGACAAGAAAGGATATGAAAAAAATGTTTAAAAAATACAGAAAAAGAAAAGTGAATAAAAACATATGCCTAAAGAAAAGACTATGAAAAAGCAGAGTGAATAAGAAAATAAAGAAGATAAAAAACGTGGTGACTCAAAAAAAAAAAAAAAAAGGGAAAATGAAAAGAAGAAAAGAGAGGGAAATTGAAATAAAAGACATTAAAATTGTAGAATTAGGTAATGGGTTATTGTCATTTTCAAATCTAAGGGCACTTTTAAAAACTAGAAAAAAGTTGGGGTAATGTTGTAAGGGATAGGGTTGAAGTCCCTTTCAACAATTTTCTACCAATGAAGCTTCATTCAAGTTGCTTAAATGAAAACTAAAAATATATACATAATATGACTAAAATGCCCCTATGCTTTTATTACAATTGCATAATACCCTCAACATTTTTGTAACATGAAAAATCATGCCCTTCGAAATTATCTGCCCCTTCTACAAAAACATGGATCATAGTTATCAAGATCAGATCGAAAGGTGCTTTGGTCTGTACGTTTTATGTCAAACTTAATACTTGATTGGTTTTGCCTAATCGGATTAATAAGTTTGAACTTTTTCGATATACTAAATAAGGTATGTATTGCATCTATTTTTATTTTATTTTTCTAAAATCCGATCCATCATGTACATTAACCAATATTTCAACTAGTTTTAACTAAGCCAAACCCTTCATCATTTGGATGGGAGATCCGATCGTAGTACAAACAAACTCAGCCTTAATTTGAGAGCATTTTTGGCACTTAAAGCATTTTATAAGTTTGAATTAATAAAATAATAAACCTAAAACAAATTTCGGCTAAAAAAAAGAGTAGGTGCTCAAAGAAAAAAAAAAAAAGAGGTAATCTATCAGAATACCAATTACAGATGAAGTATTTAACATTTTGCCTCAAGACCTTAATTTTTTCTATCGGTATTTTGAAAATAAATTAAAATGCATGGGTAAAGTATTAAATTTTTCATCTCTTATGAATAAATTGATAAATTTCTTGAAAAAATAAAAAAATAAAAAAAATTGAAAAATATTTTAACTCAATTAAATCCAGTGGAGTTTTTAAAGCATTAAACAAGAGCAAAGGGTTTCACCTTCTCTTGCAAGTCCGTTTCCCATCTCTACCCCCAACAAAATCCAAATTCCCTCCTCCTTCAAAACGCACAGGATAACTTCCACCGGTGGCCTGATTCCCGCAATTCGCGCTGGAAACTTCGCCGGAATTACCAGCAGAAGCTAAAACGGCGGAAATGGATCGGATGATCTTTCTAAGGTTTTCCTCGAGCAATTTGGGGCTCAAAGGTTGAGAGGGAGAGTTTAGGAGGTGGGCCAAGAGTTGCTTGGAAAGTTCCAAGCCATGGCTGAGCTCATGGATCGCCCTTTTCCGGCTGAATACCGCCGGATAATCGTTTCCCTCGACTCTTTTTCTGTTCAAATCGTCCATTTTGATTCAGTTGGGAAGAAACTTTTCTTGATAATGAGACGGAGGGGAGCTCGCTACGTTGAGAGAGAAAGTGAAGGAGGGAGAATTTTTAGAGAGAGAAATAAGAATTTGTGAAGAAGAGGGGTGGATGCAGACCTCAAGTATTGATCATCCTAGAGAGAAGGGAGTGTGAGGGACTCAAATGTTGATCCAAGATAGAGGGTAGGGGTGGAGGAGTATGGTGTGTGAGAGAAGTACTGATTCTAGAGAGAGAAAGAGAGGGGAAATGCTTCAGTAGTAGTGAGAGAGACAGAAGAAAGCGGGGTGTTGGATCTCTTTAAGTATTGTTCTAGAGAGAGAGAAGAGACTATGCGGTCTAGAGAGAGAGAGAGAGATGGAGTTTGTGGGCCTAGAGAGAGGGTAGAAAGAGAAGTGAGAGATACAGTGCGCTTTTTGTTGTAGAGAGAGAAGGGGTCTTTGGGGCTTAAGATGGAGACTTTAGAGAGAGATGGGATGTGAGAGATTGTTTTAGAGAGAGATAGGACGTGAGAGAATGTACATTTAGAGAGAGATCGGATCTGTGGGGCTTAAGACACTGTGTGTGTTTTTGTTAGAGATAGATGTGGTGCTCAAGGGAGTGTTTGTAGAGAGAGGGCCATGAGAGCTTTTTTTTTTTAAGGGAGAGTAGTGACACTTAAAAGAGAGTGTGGGTCTAGAGAGAGATGGGATGTTTAGGGCTTAAGAGAATATGTTTTTTGCTAGAGAGGTGGGGGTGAAGAGAGAGATAATGTGGCTTTTTTAGTAATTTGGTGGAGAAGATATGTTTAATCAAATTTTTGAAAACTTTTAGGCGTTAATGTTTTCAAATATATTGTTGGATGATATCAGTAGGAATAAAAACTACAATATCCTTTAAATTGGGGTAGTATTATCGCCGTCACCCAGCCTTTTTTATCAATAAACCGTGGGTTGGAGGGAGATGGATTTGTGGGGATTAAGAGAGAGAGTGTGACCAAGAGTGGGAAAATGGGTGGGATACGCGGGATAAGAAGAGAGAGAAAATGAGTGAGATGCGATGTGTGGGGTTCAAGATAGAGAAAGTGTTTTCTAGGGAGAGAAAGAGTTAAGAGAGAGAAAGAGGGCGGGGCGTTGATGTGTGGGTGTTGGTAGCTTCATGAGAGGGCAAACGAAGGCACAAGGAAAGGCCAAGGGAATCTTCTCAACCCATACAATTTGTGGTATGACGTATGCCTGACGACGTCATCAAAGGCCAATTTATCCCGTCAATTTCCGCTAATTTAATACGGAAATATCCAAGTGGACAAAGCCGCGTCAAGTGCGTGTGAGATATATGATTAATACGCAAAATTCCGGAAGGTCCATAGCCGCCCCCTTCCGGCTCAGTGGACCCTCTATAATTGGCTCAGCCGCTCCGGACAAAACCTCGTGGCTTAGATAGGGGCTTTTTCGTCATGTCTGATTATATATATATATATGGGAGGGAGAAAGCCTTTTACCCATTTTTATTAATAAAGATAAAAAAAAAGTTAATATCATATATTAAATTCTTTTGTTAAAATATTAAGGACGGGCTTTGCCCGGTTGGGGTGAGCTTAAAAAAACTAGGGCCTGACCCAGAAAATGTGGTATGATATCCAAAGCCAATACAGTTCCAATACAGTTTGACGATTGGGATGATTGGTCAGGTTAGGCCTGGGCCAGGTTATGCTAATGGACAACTTACCCTGGCTAGGTCAACCCTTTTTTTTCTCATCCTTTTTTTTTTTTTTTGACCTTTTGAGTTTATTAAGCGTGGCCTAGTTCAGGCCAAGGCCTCATTAGCCCGATCTAGGCTAGGATGGATACGAGCATTCCTGCATGGGCTATGACCAAGGTAAGGCCATGTTGGCCCAACCCAAGCTCGGGTTATTGCACTCATGAAAATATCATTAAGGGCCGAGCTCATCCAATTAACTTTGACGAGTTTGTTATTTAATTTGATTAATTCAGGTGCCGCTCCCAAGAGCACCATCAAGAAGGTTAAAGCCCCCATTTCAAAATTAGGAGCCCTAAATAAGCAACATTATCTCGCTAATTTTATATGTATTTTGATACGTCATTTGGATGGTGCCTCTTAACTGAATCAAACACGGCAATACTAAAATTTGTTCAAGGCTTCAGCCCTAAATATTAGAAATTTAGGTTTTTTTTTTAAAATATGTTTTGAAGGGCTACTTGTGTGTATGTGTTTGAGAGAGAGAGAGAGGGGTGGAGTAAATTAACATTGTGTTGCTATGCAGCAGTGAAGGGCTACTTGGGTGTGTGAGTTTGTGTGTGAAAGAGAGAGAGAGAGAGGGGTAAGGTAAATTAACACAAAGTTGTTGGTATGCATGTATTTAAAAAAAGGGAAAAGTTTATATAAAGCCAAGGCTCTAAACAATCAAATTTGAACTCATCTCAAAAATTTTACTAGAAGAGACTGTTTTGATGCTCAAATATCTTCAAATTGATGATCTCGACATCAAGAAGCATGGACATAAGAAAAAGATAGATTTCAAGTTTAGGAAATAGTATATTTTGTAACGTATTTTTGGATCGTCAATTTTCAAGATTTTCAGGTTTTCATAGATTTGTCGATCTATACCATTTTTTAAGCTTTAAATTTTATAAATAAATATAAAAATATATTTTAAGGCTGTCACAAAGATTTCCAATATTAAAACCACATTTCTCGACACTGTTTGAAGGTAGGCTCTAATTTGATTGTTTAGAGCCTAGGCTGTATACAAACCGCACCTTTAAAAAAATATATAAATGTGCTAAGTTGGTCCGGATCACCTATATCTTGACTTGGATTAATTTGGATTGGCAATCTCAAAATATATTTCAAAATAAAAAACTAGAAATATATGAAGGAACATTTATAGGGACCTTTAAATACACCTAGAAAAGCAGAAAAAAAGAAGAAGTAGGGGCTTTTAGGGCTACTAACCAATTTTGATACCTGGCCTAAGCTAAAAGTGTCCTAACTAGCTCCTAATCCAGATCAAGTCATTCCCAATCCGTACTGCATTTTTTGAAACATAGGCGTGCACTGCATGGAAACATGCACATTAGCTTTGAAGTAAAAGTTATTTTAAAGCGAAAAGATACGTTATTTGCTCCCTCAGTTAAAAACTAAGCTAGCGGTATCTTTTGGACATAAAATTTGTGGATGTAAAGGGATCAAACTCAAAAGAAGAAAAACTAAAATATCACAATCTACGTGCTTAAAAAAAAAATTCATATGAAAATTGAACAAAAAATGTCCACTCACTTGAGGGCATGAAAGAGTTGAAGAAACTCAATTTATTTTTCCTTTCATGAAAATAAAAACCTAGTAATCCTTAAGTAGATCCCGAAATTTCAAATAAAAACAATCCTTCCAAATAGCTATTTTCTTTGAGGGAGTTATATATAGACAAGCCTATAAGGGAAAATCGAGTGATCCGAATAGGCGAATTGCACAAATCCTGTCCAATTTAATTTTTAATTTTTTACAACTTTATTAGATATTTAAAAGAATTGGTTTTCTTTAGACGTGCTAAGAGAATAGCCAATTCAGATTAGGAATCACCAATCCAAATCAGCTAAGTAATCCAAGTGCTTTAAACACTGGTTTGTACAAATTAAGGCATGTGTCATTGTATTTATTAATAGACTACGAGAAATTTACCAAAATACACCAACTTATCAACTATTTAATATTTTACTTATTTTCAACTATTCCAACTTATGACCATACGTATTTTACTCTCTACTTAAATTTAAAAAAAAATTAAAATAATAACTAGTTCAAGTACATATTGATATAAGAAGGAGTTTAGTCAATAGAGAGAAACAAGAGTTTATTAAGGGGAGAGAGAGAGAGAAATCAATACTAAATTAATATCAATGAGTTTAGAGAGAGATCAATACTAAATTAATATCAATGAGTTTAGAGAGAGATCAATACTAAATTAATATCAATGAGTTTAGAGAGAGATCAATACTAAATTAATATCAATGAGTTTAGAGAGAGATCAATACTAAATTAATATCAATGAGTTTAGAGAGAGAGAGATCAATTCTAAATTAATATCAATGAGTTTAGAGAGAGATGTTAATCCTAAATTAATGTCAATGAGTTTAGAGAGAGAGATCTTAAATTAATATCAATGAGTTTAGAGAGAGAGAGATGCTAAATTAAGATCAATGAGTCTAGAGAGAGAAAGAGAGAGATCAATCCAAAATTAATATCAATTAGTTTATTTATGATGCTGAGGAGGTTTAGGCGCCGAGCTGAGAAAGTAAGAATCCAGCTTTAGAAGCTGACGCAATTACGATGACGCAACTATGCTGACGGCCAAGAGAGAGCAAGATAAGTGATTTGTGCTTTTTTTTAGAGAGAGAGAGGTAGTGATTTGTCTTTTTTTAGAGAGAGAGAGAGCGTGAAATCGAGAACGTCGCGGCGGGATTACCGACAAACTTAAGCATAAAATTTCTTAATTATTTGTTTAATCTATTTTTTGATGTTTGAACCAAAGTGGTGTTTACTTAAATAGTGATGGACTGGATGTTAGAAAAAAGAATTGCTAAATTATTTAAGAATTTAAGAACTAAGTTAATTAGTTTTTAAAGATTCTTTAATGGGGTCTTTGTATTTAGATGAGGGTGCCGTTAGCATAAGATTGTAGAGGTAAGGTGTACTTTTCAAATTTTATCATGGTATATTATTTTGATGTAAAACATCCTTAGGATTATCTCATAATTTATTTTTATATCTAATTATAAAATTTTAAATTTCAAAATTGGTTAAAATCAAGTAAATCTATAAACATATGAAAATCTTGAAAATAGACGGTGTAGATAATATGTTGTAAAATGTACTATTTTTGAGACTTAAAATCTTTTTATTTTTCATGGTCATACATCTCAATGTCGAGATGATCAATCAAACGGTTTTTCAATATTAAAACCACCTTTTCTAATGAATTTTTTAGGTGCATCTGTAGTTCTATATATAAGGTTGCAACTTTATATAAACTTTTTCCTTTAGAGAAAGGAAAATATCCTTTAAAGGCTCAAAAGCTTTTATAAAATCATAAAGGGAGACAAAATATCCAAATTAATGATAGAGAATTTATTTTTAGATTTTTATCTCACTCGTGTTTTTCATCAAGAAAATATTTCAAAAATGCTAAAATTGATTTTATTTAGGTTTAAGAATATAAGAAATCAAGATAATTTCAATAACTTGGTCCTGAAAAAATATGTTTATTATTGTCATTTGGCTGGGGTCTTAGATG